TGGGGTGGGGGGGTGTTTGGTTTTTATTCCCCCCGTCTGCTGGGTGGTTGCAGCAGGTTTTGGTCACTTCACATGACCCTGGGACACTGTGACCGTCATAAATATGAATCAGTTGCCAAGCATCTGAATGTAAATCACAAGACCATGGAGATGCTACAACATTCCAGCTGATCGGCGCTTCTTCAGGGCTCAGCAGAAGCACCAGGATCAGCGCAGAGCTCCAGCTGGAGCCTGGCGTTGATCCTGGTGCTTCCACTGAGCCCTGACAGCCCTGCAGCTCCAGCATCTCTCGCTCAGGCTTGTGCCGTGCTGCCACCGGTTCAGCTCATTCCCCTCCCCGGCTACCACTTTTCTAGGATGGTCGCGTACCACCTGCCAGGTGCCAATGCACCACAGGTGGTACCTGTACCACTGGTTGAAAAGCCCTGAACTAGACTGAAAGTTGGCAAGTAGCCCAAAGTGACCCAATCACATTCTATAACTGTTGGTTGATCTGAATCAGCCAATGGAAAAAACCTACTAGAGTGATGATACTTAAATGACGGATGGCACTATCTTGCTTGCTATGTTAGGTACACATTTTCTTTGGCAGTCCTCTAAACATGGAACTTGCTGCCTCTGGATGCCCATGTGACCCCTATCCTTTGCAGACAGTACTTAAACCATTCTTTTCTATGGGACTTTTGGGCATAGTTTTCCTTACACTTACCTTTGTTTTTAAAATGTTTCTTTTTACTGTGAATGTTGCCCAGAGTCCAAAGATTGGGTAACATAATGCTGTAAAAAAGCAAGTAAGGATGGTTTAGTATAAGGTTTATGCTAATTAATAAATATGGTTTAATGTCCTAAGACTTCATAGTACCTTGGTAGTCAATTTATTCATCTTTAGTATGTCAGAATCTGATGATATTGAAAAAGACTTCAGAAACTATCTACTTATTGAAGATGGGAATACTGATTGTGGGTAGGATGACAACTGCCAGGGAATCAATATGAAGAGTAGATTTCCTGGTTTTTTTCCTTTCAAAATTTGTTTGAAATATTCTAACTCAACGGCTTCCAACTTTTTCTATATCCCGCACCCCTAGAATGCTTTTGATATATTCTCGCATCCCTTACAAAAGTTCGAAACAACGGCAACGAATTATGTATATACACTATAGTTTTGAAAACCCAAGTTTTCGCACCCCCTGGAATATCGTCTTGCACCCCCAGGGGGTGCGAGCACACCTGGTTGGGAACCCCTGTTCTAAATACATTTTTAGAAGTACACAAGAAATTCTTGCAAATGTTTAGACAAAATATATTTCAATGAATCTGTATGTTAACAAAAGCTGGTACATCCTCTACTTATTTAAGAATAAATAAATCAACTCTATTTAGTAATTTAATTTGTGCAAATAGTGGTTGAAAGGTAGTGAGTAGAATATGTTCTGTTATGTCAGCCTGATAAGATTGTGCATGCAGGAAGCAGGACCAGGTAGACTAATTCTACTTTATTGTACAGAAACTTGTAAAGCTGAATATTTTTATACAGAATCTTGCAAATCTGAAAATACATTTCTTCCCCATTGCCTTCACAGCCCAAGAAAGTAGAGAGGTTTTCTTCTGAAAAGTTGGCCACATACATATATTTCTTTTGTGGGCTGAACTGCCAAGTCTTGTCTGACCATTCCCCTAGCTATGGTTATCTGCCCTGTCTCCCCAAGTCATTCCCAGATACAATCATGTCTTGTAAGAAATTAATGTTTAGCAGGGGGTGTGTGTCAAAAAATGGCTGGGAATGGGAGCATTCTTCTCACTTTGTTCCATGGATGTGAGAGTTAATTAGGTCAGAAGACGCAAAAATAAATAGAACAGGGAATTCAAGAAGTCTATGTGGTTATCTTCTTAAGATCTAACAATACATCTTATTGTAGTTCCCCACATGAAGTGATTACTGAGGTTTGGGGTCTTCAGTTGATAAGTCCCAGAGCTGACAATATGCTTAGGGTAGAAACTTCTTGGGGGATCTGGTGATGATGCTTTGGTTTCTAGTTGCTTCAGTGTATGGGATGATTACTGCCCATGCAAAGAAACAGTCGTAAGACAAAGTTAATTGGAAAACAGAATTTTGCTTGTGTGTGTGTATGTGTGTGTGTGTGTGTGTGTGTGTGTGTGTGATAACTTAATAAAAACAATAATAAGTACTCCAAGAAAATAAATTAAGGAAGTAATGCACATTATTCTGATGTACCAAATTTCCTCAGTCTGATGCCATTCAAATGTCTTCCAGACATTTTGGGCAATTTTTGTCATGCAATTAGCAAGCTTTGATATCACATTCTAATTTATAAATTCTAAGCCTTAAATGTCAATATAATTCCACATCAATATATTATAGGCCTGTATGCTTTAAAGCACATTTTCAAGGAGGCAGCAGGACAGTTTGAGGATGATGGTACATTCTCTCCATGGCCCCTTATCCTGTCTTAGGGTTAGTCCTTTTCCTGTTTGAAAGTTTGGCATACACACAGTATGTGTTTAACGGAGTCTGCTACACAGGAACCCCCTGCTTGCTGTGTAACTGTGTAACATCTTCTAAAAGGGGATCTCTCCCAAATGTTTTTCAGCACTTGGCTTGAGTCAGGTTGATGCCTCTGACTTCTGCTTGAATTTGCTACCTGTGTTTCCTGCCTAAGTTAGGACTTCTTCCATTAATATTTTTTTTACTAGCAATCTGCACAGAGGTTTGTGAATAATTCACGGAGACAGCCTGCCTCCAGCTTTTTTGGGAAAGCTGGCCTGCAGGACTGGCTGGCTGATGCAACTCTAAATAGGGTAGTGAATTTTGAACATGATCTACTGACATGGTAAAACAGGAAGAGACAAGGTAAAATGAGCTTTCATTAATTAATGTAATTAATTAATTAATGTAATTTGAATACAAGAGTGATTAACTGCTATGAGGGGAGTGCACTGAGGTTCTCTCATTATGCAAAACAAAAAATAAAAAACAAGCTCAAATTTGGAAACAAACAGGAAGGAAGAATGCTAGGATTAAAGGAAGAGAAAACAGAGTGTTGTGGTTGGATGGAGTCGCTAAGATTCCACAGAACAGAGAGAGAGAAGAGAAATTTAAAGGGCATAAGGCAATGTATGAATCAGATTATAAATGTGATAGAATCAAAGATGATTTGCAAAGATAAAATGGTATGGAGGTTTATTGTGGTACTATTGTTATAAAATAGATTTAGATAGTTCTTTTTCCCCTCTATTGTCTTTATTTTTCTTGCTTCTCCTTATTGTACTTTTTTTTTATATCCATTGCCTTATGTTGTTTTTCCCAAGAAGGAATACCATGAAACATATATAAATATGTAAGTACTGGAATTTTATATAAGTATGTAAGTACTTATATAAATATGTAAGTACTGGAATTTTATGGTGCTTATTTCACTATTTAAAAGTTCTGATGTACTAAATTTCCTCAATCTGATGCCATCCAAATGACTCCCAGAATTCTTGGGCAGTCTTTGTCGGCTGGGAGCTGCTTTCCTCATGCATTTGGAAAGGATCTCAGTGAAGAAAACTATAATATACAAACCTTCCCATTCTGTCTTCTATATCATCTTGATGCAACCTCTTGTTTCCTTTCTGTCTTTGCTGTGGATGCATTCATAGAAGGTTTGGCCAGGTGAATCTTTTTTTTTAAATTCCTTTTCCTGAAGTGTTCTTTAAACTAGATTGCCTTGAAGACATGCACTGTGGACACAGAGATTCATAGGGATGGATAATTGTATTTTTTTTTTTGTACAACCACTGTCATGGGATTCTCAGCAATAGACAAAAGCTTTAAAACATTCCTGGTAAAATAAAAGACATCCACAATATAGTTAAAGCCAAGGCAATTAGAATGCATTCCGAAAACCAAGCAGTATGTAAGGATAGTGAATGTGATTTCCTCAATTTTAAAAAGGCCTTTAGAAAAATTCCTTTCCAGCTTGCTTCTGGAAGCCCAACGGTGTCGGGCATTGTATGATTTCCAAGGGAAGGCTGTTTCATAACATGGGAGCCATGAAATGCTTCTTCCTAGATTCAGCTGCCTTGGTTTCACCGAAGCTGGGAATTACAAGCCATTTTTCCTGTGATATTCATATTGGATAGGTCAATTCTGATTGAAGGGGGCAGTCCTGCAGTCACCTCAGTATCAAGCTGTGTAGCTGTATTACATATATTTTATAGATTGAACACTAAGTTTCTCTTTCATGTGCACCTCTTTTAATTTTCCTCCCTGGTGTATAGGTGTTCATGACAAAAAATTCAGTGTGCTTAGTCATTAATCAAATGAGACTTGGCTTAAACAAATTCCTAAGCGTTTGAGAATGGCTGTTAAATATTAGGAGAAGTAGAATCAGCTGGTATCACACAGTTAAACAAATTAGTAATCTAATTTGGTTTATAAAGAGAAAGTTTTTTTTCTTTTTGAAGAACAGAGTACAAAGCACACATGGAACTAAAATGGAAATATTTTCTGTAAAATAAAAGGAGAATGGGGTCGTGTTATACTTGCCATTTATTTCAGTACATCATATTCTCAGGTAAATAAGTATAGGATAGCAAGAAACATACACAATATTTTATCCATTTTTAGTACAAATTCAATCTACTGGTACTTTCTTTTTGAAAGAGAAAAAAAGTATTTATTGTAGCTGGCCAGTAGGTGGCAGACTTATCCCATAGCAGGAAACTAATGTGGCAGTCCTTACATCAGTACAAATTGCTGATTTTAAAAGTTCAGTATTTGTATAATTTTTTATATAATAATTCCTGGAACAAACAGGGAAAGACAAAGTTTTCAGTCCTGTAACATTGGAGAGTAAGGCCTTTTGATGATGTAGTTTCTTTTTTCCGGTGTAATTGCATAGTCTTGTTTTTTCCCCACATGAGCTGTATAATTAAAATAATTCTACTGTTCTTATGTCCTTTGTTGGTTTTCGTCCTGTGGTTTCTCTTTCTAGATACACCATGGTGCTCTCCTATCAAGGTAAAATATGGCTATGCAAATTGCAGAAGTCCTCAGGAAGGGTATTACAGAAATGTCTTGGGGACCACATGTGATATTCGTTGTCAGAAAGGTTATGAACTACATGGTCCTCAGCATCTTATTTGCCAGTCAAACAAACGCTGGTCTGGGAAAGTTCTCTGCAAACGTAAGTGGCTCATTTTTTCCTGAAAATTGCTTTCAAGTTCTTTGCTTCTGATTCTGTTGCTCTTGACCATATATAATGCTCTTATTAGTTAGTGTTTTAGCAGAGTAAAAATTAGTTATGGAATTCTTTGCTCATACAGAGGAAACAGTAATTTTTAGCAGTGAGGTTTTTCTATGCTTTTCTATGCAGTTGATAGTGTTCAGTTTTATACAATAGAATACTTTGTAGTCTTCCTATATATTTCAAAGGGAAGAACTTAGGTGGGTCTTTTTAGTTGTATTGGCAATATTAATGGTTGTAATTAATTTCATTTATGTCCCTAGGTGTTTATATAGGCTGCTTTAAATGTATGCTTGTGTAGCTTTAAGGATTTGTTGTGAGTGGAAATGTAATTAATGTAGCTTTTATAAAAAAATATACTGTAATTTTTAAGCTTTCCATGGGAAAAGAGTTGCATGAAATATATAGAAATAAATATAAACATCAATACTAAAAAGGCAAAGGAAGAGATTTCAGACTTCAATAAGAAAAATAAAAGCTATTATTTTTCCTTGCAGTGCTTTTATAGATTTTGTGTTTTGGTCCCCTGTTTTTCTTCGTTTCTGACCATCCATGCTGCACTTCATGTAAAAGCAAGGCAGCAGTAAAATTATTTCCTATTCAGAGCTCAGTTTCTTTATGCAAAATCACCCACCTTTCACTTCTGCATATTGCAAATATAGAAATATTTAATTTCCACAGAGAATTACAAAGAATATCTTTCAGAACCCTCAGTGTATCTCTGCCCCCCATGCTCCAGTTTAATCCAGATTTGCCCTAGATATAGTCAAGCACAAATAAGCAAACTTCAGGACTGCCAGCAAAATGAGGAAGTCACCAGCTATGAGTGAAGGTAAATGGATCCACTCTGAGAAACTAGGTGGATTGTTTGGAAAGTTTGGCAATTTTTCCTCACTTGGAGAATTGGGAATAAATTGCAGTTGAAAGCTGTTCTCCTTCTGAATTTTAAAGGATCATTGTCTCATGCAGTGCCATAATGAAATTCAAGACAATTCATCCTTCGCTTAGTAACCAATCATACTTTGTCTCACATTATGAGGAATGAGACCCTCTAACTTTTCAATAAGAATTGGAGGGATACAGTAAATTCTGGAAAGATCTATGGTCATAAATTTACTTCACCTCAATTGTTCTACAATACAGATTTCTCTGTAAGAAATGTATCTGCCCTTGTGGATTGAAAGTGATAGAAAATGCTACCTATGTTTTATTCCACTATACCAGTGATGACAAACCTTTTAGAGACCGAGTGCCCCAAAACTGCCCCGCCCCACTCCAACCCCTGTGCCACCCACCCCACCCCGCATGCCCGCAGGGCCACCCACCGCCTCCACAGCCCGCCGCAGATTGCCCAGGTGGCCTTGCAGCGCCATGGCGGCAATGCCCTCTGCCCGTGCCACGCAGCATCATCTGTGTGGGACGGGGTGCGAAGGTAGAGTCTTGTCCTTGCTGCCCAGCTGCCATGTGCTTGTCTGTGCTGCTCCACGTGGGCCGTGCCTAGGGGTGACTCTCCTCTGGGAGGGGCTGCTGGTGAGGATGGGGCGTGACGGCGCACGTGCCCACAGAGAGGGCTCCAAGTGCCACCTCTGCCACACGTACCATAGGTTCACTTCCACACGTACCATAGGTTCACTTCCACTGCACTATACCCTCTATAGAAATTACTACATCAAGTACTGTATATCACAACCTTTCTGTTGCATCACCCAGCCAATCAGACTACTACTGTGTCTCTGTATTGTTTTCATAAAAAAAATATTTTATTGCACATGATATTGTAAAATGTAGTGCAATAAAATGTAGAGCCTGATAGGAAGTAATAATCATGTCTTCAATGATTAATGTTGATTTTCTCTTACAGAAAAACGCTGCCCAACACTTTCTATGCCACCTAATGGAGGATTCAAGTGTGTCGATGGTGCATACTTTAATTCCAGGTGTGAGTATTATTGCTCACCAGGATATCAGTTAAAAGGAGATAGAGTAGTACAATGTATGGATAATAAAGCTTGGAGTGGAAGACCAGCTTCTTGTGTTGGTAAGTTGAAAATCATGATGATACACATTGCATTTGGATAGTAAGAGATATACTAACTTGAAATGCAAAAGGCAATTAATACAGTTGCTCCTAGTATGCTTTCTGGCACTTGTTATACAATTTCCTAAGGATCAAAAGATTATAATGCAGCTAAAATGAAACCCAGAATGCAAATAGTGTCCCTGTCTCCTAATAAAAATGGCTAAAAACACATGAGAGCCATTATCATCCCTCCATTGTGTTCTCATTGATGACAAAACAGACATATTTCTCTGCATTCATCGCATCCTAAATTAGGTATCCAACAGAGCTTTCTGAATATTGAATAGGCTTTTCAAATTGGAGCAATTAAAGAGAGAGAAAATAACAGTGTAGTATAGTTGCTAGGTCTTTTGGACCCTTGCTTAATATTATATGTTCAAATCAATGTTCAGCCCTGAAACTTAATGAAGTCAGGCAAATCCTGTTTTCTCAATCCAACTTTCATAAAGATAAAATTGATAGAGGATGGTACAGAATCACAAAAGACATAAGTTCTTTAGAAGAGAAGTCAGAATTAAAAAAAATGTTATATAGGCAATCATCATGTATAGATGTTATTTCTTAGACTCCTGGTTAACATCAAGCATACATGATTTCAACAATTTTGCAATGGGTTTGGTATTTCTGGAAAGCTATTAGCAAACTAGCACAGCTGCATGTGGCTTCTTTATGTGTAAAACAATACATTCCTACCTTTTGCAAATTTGGGTTGTGTTTATCTAGTAAGTGTTTCAATGCAGTTAAACTGCATAGAACATTCTGGTCAGGCAAGAAGAATTTACAGATCCAGTAGAGCCTTGAGATACAGTTCCTATAGTAACACAGGATCATTGTATTAATGTAACTGAAATTTATAACAAAATATAAAGGCTTATGTTTTATTATTTAGTGAGGGGCTCCTTAGAATTATATAGCTGAGGCACTGAAAATTCCAGAAACTGGAATATTTCTTTTTTTATTAATTTCAATTTATTCTTATTAGGTATTACTTTATTTACAGAGACTGCCTGTTCTTTGGGCAGTGCATTATAAAAGGTTGTCTATCCATTTATCACCAGCAAAAAAATTTCTTAACCAGCATTAACAACATTTGTAGTTGTGTGCAGAGCTTCAATTTACTGATGATTGATTAATTTGCCTTAAGCAGGAAGCAAATGTTACAATGCAAAGCTTTTTTTTTAAGGACAGTAGTATTCATTGGGCCTAACAGATTTATATATTCCATTTTTGACATGTATGTATATGCCAGTTTGATTTGTACAAATATTCTAAGAACGTGAAGCTAGATAGCTTCAGGCTATATGTACTTTACTGGAAACACAGTACCTTTCAGCAAAAATGGATACCCAGTATGAACTTACACATAATTTCAATTAGATATCCAAATGCAAGCAAAATATTTGAAGGTCTGCAGATGGAACTTTAAAGCTTTAGTCTTCTAGTCTTCTGCCATCTTTAAAAATTGCCATCTTTTTTCACTTGAGTAATTCCACTTTCTTAAAAATCAAGACCATATTTTTGAAATTTGGTGCAAATGTAACCAAACATTTAGTTTTTAGTTTAGTTTTTACAGGCTTATAATGATTGTGTCAAGCCTCGAAGAATGCCTATGCTGTCTCAGCCATTATTGCTTCTTAGCTTGCCTACAGACTCAGGGGGGAGGGGAGAGAAGAATGGAATGCAGGCTTCAGACATCGGACTGCCAGCCGTGAGAGCCAAGGTTGCTCAAGATTTGTTTACTGAGAACTAAAGACATTCCCTCATAATACTTCTCTGAGTTATAACTGGACAATGTGACCTGCACTAATAAGGGAACGGAGGTTTCTCTACTTTTAATATAGCAATTTAGGCACGAAATAACCAGAGCTGGTTTTCCTTTCATCTGTGCCGAATTGATGTGCTCAATAAAGTTTTGCATTAGAGATTACATCGTCTCAGCTATGCTTACTTCATTGGGTTCATCAGTCGGAACCTTAACAGATAGTCTACAAAGAAACCAAGTTTCCTTGAAATACAGCATGAACGATAAAAATGAAAAAAAAAGTATTTTAGAAAAATAGGGCTGCCAATTATAATGCAGTAAAAACACCGTTTGAATAGAACAACTTTGTATAGAAAAAGCACTTATTTTTACAAAATTAGAATAATTTTGAAAAAGCACAGATAACTAAAATTGAAGAGTAGGCAAGAAATCACTTTGTGTGAAACATTTTGTATCTTTGCATAGGTGCTATTATAAATAGTTCTCTTCTAGTATTTTAGATAACATTTTTATTGGTGTCATTTTAATATTCAACAGTTTAATTTTAACTATCTTGGTAGTAGTTTGTGGCTTAATGTTATTACTATTGTTTAAAAATGTTCTATGCTTCAGTAAACACTAGCTTAAAACAAATCACCATTTTTGCGTTTTTATGTACAGATATGGAGCCTCCAAGAATTCAGTGTCCAAGTGTAAAGGAGAAAATAGCAGAACCCAATAAATTAACATCCCGGGTATTCTGGGATACTCCAGAGGGACGAGATACTGCTGATGGCATTTTGACAGAGTGAGTAAAAATGTATAGTTAAACAATAAAGTGACAGTACATAAACTTAAAGGCTGTACATGAAACACACTTTTTAAGTTTATGTACTTTTAATTTAGTACATAATGCTCTACAAGTTAGTATGAATTAAGAAGTTTACAGCAGTTTAGTTCCTAGTCTTTCTTTCAAACATGCAGTCCAAATAATTTTGTAGTCCAGCAATTGAGGAGTAACAAGATGCAAGATCAATTTTTATATAGTTAGTGCTTACTTTATATCCATATATAGTGTTGTAGGATCCAATCTGGGTCAGTCACCAAGACCAGAGTTTTTGTTGTCTGAGCTTTCTGACTCGTGCTGGAGCCCATCTTCAGGGAACTTCTCTCTAGCAGAGTGTGTGCTGTTCTGTATGTGGTATTTATAGTGCCTGTTGTAAGTGGCTTTTTAGAAGTTACTTAGGTGTATTGATGGCTGGCTTTTAACTCATTAGATGTCATTTGTTTGTGCTGCCCAGCCCTCACCTTTTAAGTACTTGATAGGCTGGTGGTAAATCAGCACCCCTGTTGACTGACGAGGGGCCTATTTCTCAGGCTTTAATCACTTCCCTGGCTGTTTTTGTGCCTGCTCGTCCAACAATCTTAGTAACTGCAGACTTGAATGTGTGTCCTTGTTCATTGCAGTGTGAGGCCACCAGTGAGGCTATAATGTTAATGTTGTTGCATATCAATAGATGGTTTTTAAAAGTCAGATTCTCAGAAGTTCCAGATAAGTGTAATATTAACAATTTAGTCCATATTTTCTAAAATATATACTGCAAGAATGAGACATTTCTGTCTTTTTAAAATTTAATACTTTAAATTTTATTTAAGCATTAAATTAAACTTTACATTTTATTTTATTTCATTCATAGTATTGTCTTGAAAGGACTTCCACCAGGATCATATTTTTCAGAAGGAGATCACAAAATCCAATATACTGTGTATGACAGAGCTGGGAATAAGGGAACTTGCAAATTTTTGGTCAAAGTCAGAGGTAAGATCACTTTCCAGCTAAAAACAAGCACAGTCATTGAATCCAAACCACATTCACATGTTACTTGGAGATGTGGACTAGTTTCCTGAATGCATCCATCAGGTGCATTACAGTTCCAATATATCTGGAAGACACTACACTGGTACAGGCTAATGTAGACAACACAAAATAAATAGGAGCCATCGTTTTCAAAAACATGTGGAGATAGTAAGTTGATGCATTTTGTATGACTGAACTACTACTCTATAATCTCTATTGCACATAGTGCTGGGATTGACTATGGTTATCTCTTGAGGATAGCAAATTCTCTCTCAGATGTAGATAATTATAGCTTCACAGTTTTTGTTGTATAATTCTATAAAGGGTTAATTTGCTGATCAAATCTGAGCATTGCATTCTGTTTACCAATGTGATTTGTTGCACTTGGGAAATAGAAAAAATCCAATTCGGTTTGTAGTTGAAATTCCCATTGTAGCAAAGAGGTATAACTGGTGGCATTATTCTGGCTTTAGGATCACTGGAAGTTCAAGTTTGTAAATGATAGTGCGGTATGAAAACAGGATTGTTATCCAGATAGTCTTTTTATTATCCCATGAATTAATAAATTATATATTACTTATTAATTACTTAACTAGAAGTAAATAAATAATCTTTCAAGAAGGTACTAGATTTTCATTTAGATGTACCAGAAGTGGTGATGAATTACTGAATTCTGTTACTTTGTATTTAAAGTTAGGCGCTGTGGAAAATTGAATGCCCCGGACAATGGCTACATAAAATGTTCTGGTGATGGCGACAATTATGGTGCAACTTGTGACTTTTCCTGCATTGGTGGGTACGAGTTGCAGGGAAGTCCAGCAAGAGTTTGCCAGTATAATTTAGGCTGGTCGGGAACAGACCCAACCTGTACACGTACGTGAGTAATGAATAAATCCTGTAAGAGGAGACTGGACAACCATTTGTCTGAAATGATATAGGATTTCCTGCCTGAGCAGGGGGTTGGACTAGAAGACCTCCAAGGTTCCTTCCAACTCTATTGTTGTTGTTGTTGTTATTATTGTTATTGAAGAATATAAATCAGGATTATTTGCATTATTTGAAACATAGCTTAACCTAATAGCCCCCGTTTCTTCAAATTTTTTGTTCATAATTTACATATAGATTAAGTGGATAATATTTTGCCAATAAGCACTAAAAACCTTTATTTTATTTTGTAAATAGTCTGCAAAATGGCAGTCAACATAATAGCATTGCTTTTTATCTTTATATTCATTGTATTAAAGCCAAGAAAGTTCTCTCTTTTTCCATAGATCTTCAGTGTTAGGGATCTATGGAAATTTATGGAAAGATCTATAAATATACTTAGCTTTCTGTTTTTTTCCTAAAGTTTTCTCCATTATAATTCTCAATTCTTTCTTAAACTTTCTTAAACTTAAAAAAAAACAACTGGTGCTGTAGTGTTCAGAATTGGAATGAAGAACACAGCCAATAAAAGTTTATCTGGATTATGAAAATTCATGGATGTCCTCTAACTTTCTTATTCTGTGGATTTCCTGGTCTTTCTGGATAAATGCTGATTATTAAAACCCATATAATAAAGTTAAGAAAATTGAAGGGAGGGGTAGATTGAGATTTTATTTTTTTATTTTTTTATTTTGTATTTCTATTTCTAAGACTGGGAAAACATCTGGCAAGGAACATAGGGCTGCTCACATAGCTCTTGTCTGCAGCTGCTTAAATTAAATGAGGCTTCTCCTGGGGTTGGGCTGCTGAGCAATCCAGGAAAAAAAGATCCAGCTGCTTTAGGAAATTGATGGCTGACGCTGCACGAGCAAACTCTAACTTTCCAAAGCATCTTTCCCCTTTCAAATGCAAAACTCTACACCACCAACTTAAAAAATAACTTCAGATGTTACAAATTAATTACTTAGTTGGACTATTGTGTGGTCTGGATTTGAAGGGGGGGAGGATTTGTCACCCATTTCTGGCACTCTCATGGGACTTGTTGAAATTGTATACAAAAAGCTGATCTTTCTCCAGGAGCTGGAAAAACTCTTTAAACTTTGGCATCTTTTCTATAAGTTTTGTTGTTTATTTTCAAGTTTCTATATGAGCATAGTAGCATCATTACTTTTTTAATGTATCTTTTCAGCTATGAATATTAATATCGGTGTGAGGACAGCAGCAGCTCTTCTAGACCAGTTTTATGAAAAACGAAGGTTGCTTATTATATCCACTCCTGCTGCATCCAATTACTTTTACAGAATGCAGCTGGGAATATTGCAGGTAAGGAAAAGTTTATTCGTAAGTGGAATTTAATTCTACTCCCAAATTAATATAGATGGACAATGTCTTTAATATTGTTTGCTCCTTCATTTAATACACTGGACCTACATACACACAAAGAATAATCTGGACCTACATACACACAAAGGGCTGACTGAATGAAATGAGTTCCAGTTCTTGTTAAACAATGGAGGTGATTCTCATAATTTTCCTTTAAATCCACCCCTACTTTGCCACTACTCACTCTGTTCGAGAAAGTCTTTAATCCATTCTAGATTGGATGGAATCGGGGCACAGAGGGTACAGATGAATCAACAAAATTGCTTCCTCTTCTGACCCATTGCTGCAGTAATTCAGCTTAGGGTATAATGGTCTTCATAAGATTTGGAGTTATGCTTATTTTTTCCTCTTCAAAATGAGTCTAAAAATTTTGGGCAGGCCTATAGGAACAATCACTTTAATTCAGGGACCTTTATACCTTGACTTCTTCCACTCTACTTAAAGGCTGTTTTCCTGCTCCCTCCCCACAAATAAACAAATGGTTTATATACAGAATGAAATGGGACTCTTTGTTTTTGGATATGGGCCAAAATGGTTCCAGGAGAAAAACAATCAGAGTCTTAAAAGTGTATGTCATTAAACAGAATTTAGGTGTGAAAGTAAATTTATTTTCCATTTCATGTGTAACCACACTTTTTTTTTTACCAAGCTTTCAGAAGTGAATAATTTAAGTGCTAAACTATTTCACATTAAAAATATTTAATAAAATTAGTTTCTATCTATCAATGTTGCCATTGTCCAATTATATTTGTAGAGAGTAAGGAAGATAATTTAGATGGAAATTTGCAAGGACTACCAAAAGGAGTGACATATTTTTTAGTCTAAAGCAACAAGATAATATTTGGAAGTGATTGAGGCAGATGCCTCACTAACTCACTGGAGTATAAGAAGAGGGAGGGAGTACAGCACAATCAGGCTTGCAAGATTCTGTTATTATAGCCAATATCAATAAAATAGTTTTAGTCTTCCTGTGAAATTGACTTCCTGATCTGGTTTGCTTGGAGTGACTGACAGATTGTGAGGTGACTAAGACATAAATGATTGTCTGAAGGGCCTCCTATGAATGGCACATTAAATAGATTTGTGCAAAGGCCTTCCTGACCTCATCTACCATCTGCCACCTGCTTTTTGAGCAGAGCTGTGAATCCAGGATAATCCCAGATTGTGGTCCAGTCTTGAACAGAGACTTACAACTTCATCCAAGACCAAAGATGAAAACTGCTCAGATGCAGGAGGCTCAAATAACCATAGCCATTTGATTTTGTCAGGATTTGGCCTAAGCCTGTTCCTCCCCATCCAGACCCAAACAGCCTCAATACATTGGGTCAGAACATTGCAGCAATACCTGGAAGGCCCAGGGTCAAGATATCTGGTTTGGTATCATCTGCATATTGATGACACTGGACCCCAAGTGGATGAATGGCCTTCCCAGCTGTTTCATAAAGAGGTTAAATAGGCAGAGTGAGAGTGTCGAGTCCTGAGGTACTTTACAAGTGAGGGGCAATAAACCAACCACAGAGGGAGGAGAACCATTGCAACAGTCCCTTCCAAATCTTTGCAGCAATCCAAAAGGATACCATGGTTAAAGGTATCAAAAAATCACTAGGATATCAAGAACTACAAGAATGGCTACACCATCCCCACCTCAGTTCAGGCACCAGAGAACTAAGGAAGTATCATTGCCATCTTTTGGTTGATCATATAAAATTTTGTAAGCCAAATACAATAGCCTCACATTAATGATTATCACAAACACATTGTATGGATGCTTTTCATAAATAACCCAGTTGATTATCTTCCTATTTTACACAGCCAGCTCAATGTGGTTTAGATCTGCGGCATGTTACAGTGATTGAGTTGGTTGGGGTTTATCCAGCACAACTGGGAAGAATAGGATTAAGACTGATGCCTGCTGCCTTGGCTGTACAACTCAGGTAAATTAACACAGACTCTAAATTTCCTCTGGCTGTTTCCCTTTAATGTTTCAATTATATTTTTAGAGCAGGACTTTATAGAATGAGATTTTTTTTTATACAAGAGGATTCCTAAATAGAACACCTTGTTTAAATATTTTACCCAAATTTGACAAATAAATAAAATTTAATGATCCCCACGTTATAGTAAAATTAACATGTTCTTTAAAATATATTCTTTGCTTCATTAATTTGTGATAAATTGTTATATTCTGTTCACTGCACAGAGACTGTGATTGCCTGCTGAACTGTGCATGAGCATACATCTCTCTTCCCTGCGTTGCCAAGCAGCTGTGGGAAATACTAATGGTCTAAGTTTAGGGTACTTTTCAATATTTAGTGCTATAAATTGTTCATCTGATTAAATTTTAGTTAAATGTCATATTTCAAGGTCATAATGTGAAAACTCTTTAACATTATGGATTGGTCCTAATGAAAAGCAAACAGCTTCCTTAAACTGTAAAACACCAACAACTTTTCCTACTTTGTAGTACAGAGTTATATTTCAGCATAAGGGCAACACAGATTTGTTTTAAAAATGTTCTCTGACCTTTAGTTACACGAGTATACAGCTATCCTGGCAATGTATACCAGTTGAGAGTACCAGAGGCATGGAGTGTCTGTGCAATGAAATGTTTTCTAAAGCAAGAATAAAATGAGCATGTTTACTGTCTAAAAACAAGATGGAACTGTGCTATATTCCTTGGAGTTTTGAACGTACTAGATATGCAAGGTATTTATTGCAGTACTAAGTACTTTAAATTTATTTCTCTGTTGGAGGTTTTGGCCACAGCAAGAAAATACACATGGTCAAAAATGCACTGTGAGAACTGGATTACCTTTGTTTGATATTTAACAATTATATCTGGAAAGAGGATTATTTTCCTTTTCAGATTTTGACTAAATATTGTATTCTCTAATCAAAAGGGAATATTACTGCACATAGGAATGAAGATCAATTTCACCCATACATTGACTGGAGAAGCAGCTACAGGAAGCTTGTTTAGTCACTCCATTCCAAATAATGGTCAGCTCGGTTGATGATTGGTTTGGGTAGAAGAGAAGAATATTGGGGTCTCCTGCATCAGCGAGAAACCAAGGGCAACTAAGGGAATTGCAGAAGGAAGGAGGTGCATATGAAGGACTGTTCTTTTTTCCTGTCCTACCCTTTTCTTTGCCTGTCTTACATGTTTAGTTTGTAAGTTGCAGACATGGACTGATACATGCTGCTTTGGGATACTTTTGTCTAGAACAGTGGTGGCGAACCTATGGCACGGGTGCCAGAGGCGGCACTCAGAGCCCTCTCTGTGGGCATGCGTGCCGTCACCCCAGTCCTAGGCCTTCAGCTGGGTTTTATAAAACCTTTTCGCTTTAGGCCTCTGCCGCCGTGTGCAAAAAAAAAAAGGTTCAATCAATCAATTTCAACTTCCTGCGGGGAAAAAAAGATCTTACAAAGTTGGAATTGATTGATTGAACTTTTTAGTCCCACCCAGTCTGCCATTACCACCACAGCCACGCCCACCCAATGAGCCACACCCACCCAATGGGCCACACCCACCCAGCACCCAGCGATGCATAAGTGGGTTTTGGGTTGCAGTTTGGGCACTCGGTCTCTAAAAGGTTCGCCATCACTGGTCTAGAAACATGTTCTTGAGAGGTCCTTGAATGGCCATGAATATGGGCAGGAGCAGTGATCAGGAGTGCAAGGTAACTGCTTAGTGAAAGACAAAGGAAGTTGTTAACAAACTTGTCTCTTTTCATACCCTCAGGTTGTTACTTCGTATCCCTCACTATAACTTTTATATGGTAGTAGTTGATAAACATGGTGTGGACAAAGAACGATATCCTTTTCCAGCAACCCCTGCTGAGCTCTTTGCACTCGTTGACACTTTCCCTTTGAGAAAAGAAGAGATGAAATTGCAAGCTGAAATTGGCCGGTCTTGTCCCTGATTTCAGACTATAGACGTTCAGATGCTGCCTAAATTTTTCTGGTGCTACACAAAGCGTGAGATTATGAAAGTCACTGCTGTACAGAACCCTTTTTCTTGTATGTATGTGTTTAGGCTATGGATGTTGCAAAACTTCTCATTTAACCTATAAATGATGCCTCTTTATCTTGTCAAAGATACGAAAGGTTCTTGTAAGGATATTGAATTGCTTTGGTTGACCCTCCCATGTAAATGTTTTCTTTCACAGATCTTTTATTAATAAAACTTTTTTGCATTTTACAGGTTTAGTATTTATATTAACACCATGTTACAAGGCTGTTCTTTTTTCATTCAGCAAAAAGGCTCCAGACTACTGTAAGTTTAAAGGAGTCTCACTGATTTCAGTCAGACCAAACATGACTGAATAGGGATTCATCATTGTTGTCTTCTGGTTGTATGGCCTCATTGAGATACAGGCAGTCCTCAACTTACAGCCATTCATTCAAAATTACAATGGTACTGAACAAAGAGACTTTCTTCTTGTCCTAAACTTACAGCTGTTTCAGTGCACCCACGGTCACACCGGGCCTTCTTACCAAGACTGACTTACACTGTTCCCCAAGATTTGGAGAATTCCAAAACCGCCAGAGTCACCTCGCAGCTGGATAGGCGGCAAACAAATTTAATAAATAAACAAAGCATCACAAGAGCAGGCTCCATTCTCATGATTGTTTGGAAGCCTCATTCTTCCAAGTGTGGAATTTGGAGAAGGAGATTTCCAAAGGATCACGAGAATGGAGTCTGCTTGGAGAATGGTGCAAGGCGGCCTTGGCAAGCAGCCCTAGTGTGGCCAGCAGCTACCTTGTATATGTAAGCAGCTGGAGAAAAATGGTGAAGTGGGGTGCAGCAGATCCTGTGCAGCTGAGGCTTGGCAGAATGGTGCTAGCCTATCAGGATGCAGTGTGGGGCTTGAGGCAGCATAGATCAGGGTTGGAGAGACAGGCAAATGGGGAGAACTGTGATGTCCCTTCAGTCGTAGGCACTGTGGGCCAGGTCAGTGGCTGAGACATCCTGGGCTGTGGCAGCTCTGCATGCATTGGTGGGCTGAATGGGTGGCAGAGGTTTCCAGGGGCAGCTGCAGCGCACACACACACACACACACACACACACACACACACACACAGAGGCCTCCCAGGATCTTCCCCAAAGCCCTGAGGCACCACTGCATTTCTTAGCTGGAAGTCTACTTAACAACCCATGAGATTATTTAACTCCCACAACTGGGAGTGCTGGGACTGCAGTCATTGAGCGAAGCCATCGCATGACATCTCACTTAATGACCGCTTTATTCAACAACTGACATTCTGGTTCCAATAGCGGTCATAAGTCGAAGAGTACCTGTTCAACATAGACAGCCCAGGCTTTAGTGTGATAATTCAAATAAAGTTGGAGCTTTAATATAAAGAAAGGTTTTTGTCTAAAACTTGTGGCAAGTCATTTGAAAATTATATTACAGCATATACTTGCAAGTCAGTTTTCAATAATAAAGAATAGACCTAAAATTCTAATATTTTAATCTGGATGAAGTAATTAAACCTATAGAATATTTGAAGATGATATGGCTAAGAATATTAGATACTTTTAGGCCTACTTGTATGATTCCTGGAAAAAGTCGTTCTTTGTAAGACATGAGATGCTTGGCTAAATACTCTATAATTAGGGTTATTATGAGTAATGATCCTTATAGACAAGGTAGAGTGGACTTACTCCTAAACACAATACCCTTTTGTGGTATACATATGGCAAGTGCCTTTTTAGTTTTGGTTATTCAGATGTGTTTTAGCTATCAGAATTTTTTCAGTTAAAGTATCTTGACCATGAATTAAAATATACATGATGAATTCTTAACTGCACATAAAACAAGACTTTACTATAGCTATACATAACAACAACCCAACTTTCCATAATTCATGAATCTCAGTGTATAAATAAAAGTGCAATATAAAACAAACATGTTTAGTGTGTGTTTCAAAATTATTATTTAGTAATTTATCATAGAATTTCTTCAAAACTGGAAAACATCAAGCAATTTATCTTAATATGGAACCTATGACTATTGCTTTATAAAAAGAAAAATAATATTGTGAAAATATATTTACTATCCGGTATCTTAAACTTTAATGAGATTCAGGAGCTTATGTATAATGGCAGATTATAAATGAAGTTTAGGTTAAGAAAACATTCAGTCTGTTTTGATATTTATTTGTGGATGTAGTAAGTGCTGAAAATTCACTTTCACAAAAGTATGTTAATGCAATCAGTAATAAGATTCTTAATTTTGATTTAAAGCTTATTATCTGAGAACGTCCATCTAAAAGTCTTCAGCTTCACTGAATACATATTGGTGTTTCATGAAACATAACTTAAAGATTATTTATATACACTGTTCATACCCAACATAAATATTTCCAAATGATGCAATTATAATACAAATGAATAATATAGAAAAACATCTGACTGCTTTAACACAATTTTTTTTTTGTAAAAAACAAAAGCTTTCTTTTACATCACCATTTGATGAATACTAACAGAATCAAATTCTGCAGGGTAATAGGTAAAACAAGCAGTGTATGTAATTTATTGCTACAGTTGAATTATACTAATGAATTGGTTAAGAATTATGTATGAAAAATAAACAGTCCCTGATTTATTTAGAAGCTGTATTATTACAGGATACATGGCAATTATTCCATATTCTTCAAGACAGCTAGTCCAAAGACAGTAAGCCAGTAGGCAGTTGGTTCAAGTTAAACAGTGTCGTATAGCAAAATGCAGGGCTGGCTCTGGAGATTCTGCATTTGAGAGATGGAAGAAGGTTCCATCACTTTCCCCATGTACTCTCTCTTGCACTTCTGTTGTCTTGGTCTCACCATTGCCCTTCCCCAAGGCAAACAAACTTTGAATATCTGTACACTGTGCGCTTTAAGCAGAATGAAACAGTTGCTCCAGACCACAAAATGGGAAGTCAGAAGGCAGAAAATGAGAATTTCTATTCAGTATGCCCCACATTCTGGTCTGTTCTTTGAAACTACTATCCTTAATCAGGTAAAATGACTAACATTCCATCTATGTATATTATGTGTGGTTTAGAAGATCTACCACTGTTAAATCCTCAACTTTCATTGTTTTAAAATGGATGTACATATCAGAAAGACCAGAGTACATGTAAGTTGGTTGCAGAGTAAATGATCATAGCCTTCATTTAAATTTTCTCCTCAGCATTTCTGTGTATCACTACGCAGAAATAGACTTGCTTTAAAGTCCATTTAAAGTGTGCTGTAGCTGCTGAAAAAGCTAGTGCAGTTCTAGGCTGCATTAACAGGGTAGAATCAAGATCACATGAAGTGTTAATACCACTTTATAATGCCCATACTCCAGTTTTGGTTGCCACAGTATAAAAAAGATGTTGAGATTCTAGAAAGAGTGCAAAGAAGAACAATAAAGATGATCAAGGTACTGGAGGTTGCAGGAATTGGGTATGTCTAATTTAATGAAAAGATGCCTTCGTAGCAGTGTTCCAATATCTGAGGGGCTGCCACAAGAAGAGGGAGTCAAGCTAGTCTCCAAAGCGCCTGAAGGCAGGACAAGCAGCAATGGATGGAAACTAATCAAGGAGGGATCCAATCTAGAACTAAGGAAAACTTCCTGACAGAACAATTAGTGGAACAACCTGCCTCCAGAAGTTGTGAATGCTCCAACACTGGAAGCTTTTAAGAAGAGACTGGACAGCCATTTGTCTGAAATGGTATAGGGCAGGGGTGTCAAACTTGCAACATCACATGATGTATTGTGATGTATCATGACTTTTTTGGCATTCCCAGCAATGGGGTGGGCGTGGTTTTGCTATGATGCATCCGGCCCATGGGCTGGCAGTTTGACACCCTTGGTATAGGGTTTCCTGCCTGAGCAGGAGGTTGGACTAGACAACCTCCAAGGTCCCTTCCAAATCTGTTATTCTGTTAAAGAGTTTATAATTTTAGAAATATTACCTGATGTTAAGATTTTAAAAACAAAATATACACTGAATCTATAAACAGGAGGAAATGAAATAGTTGCAAAAAATATCAGTAAAATGGTTGACTGTCTGTGCAACAATATGCAGAGAAAAAACAAGAAAAGAAATGTCTTAAAAGCTACCAGCTTTATTCAACAATAGCTGGTAGCTAATATGAATTAAACAATTCTAGCAAAGGTGACTAATTAAGCTAGTCTTTCTTAGCCTTCTCACCTTCATATAAGTTGAAAATAATAGTACTTTTTAATCTTATTTTGAATTAAAATACAAATAGGAATCTGAAGACTATATAAAATGGAAACAGGCAAACAAATCAGAATAATTTGAAAAAAAGAAGTAAAAATCATTCATTGTTTCACATATTTGTTTAAAATACAACAACATTTGTGAAATAAAATCATTTTTTCACTCTGTAGGTTGGTGCTAATATAAATCTACGCTCACTCACTCAGCCCAGCTTTTTGGGTGAAAGTTGGTGTTTCACAGTATTTTCATAAAACATCAAGACATTTCATGGAAAAACCCAATAAATTTCAAATATATACTAATGCAGTTCCATGCTAAAAAAAATATGACTCAGAAGTCATTTTTATAAATTTACAGTTTTAGATTACTGAAATATGAGTTGAATCTAAATTATGATTTAATCAAGCCGGATTTATAAATAATATTAAGCCAAAAACAAATCAGTTTATTGGCAATTTATATGTTAACCACATTTTTTTCTTCCTAGCTTTTTTTTTTTTTGATCAACCAAGTGTTTATCAAGTGATTGGGTCAGGTATTGACTGACTGGCTTGTTGCCCAAACCTGACATCATGGACTATGACAGTGGTGGCAAACCTATGGCATGGGTGCCAGAGGCGGCACTCAGAGCCCTCTCTGTGGGCACGCGTGCCGTCGCCCCAGTCCTAGGCCTTCAGCTGGGTTTTATAAAACCTTTTCGCTTTAGGCCTCTGCCGCCATGTACAAAAAAAAAGAAGGTTCAATCAATCAGTCAATTTCAACTTCTCGCGGGAAAAAAAATATCTTGCAAAGTTGGAATTGATTGATTGAACTTTTTAGTCCCACCCAGTCTGCTGTTACCACCGCAGCCACGCCCACCCAATGGGCCACACCCACCCAATGGGCCACACCCACCCGGCACCCGACGATGCATAAGTGGGTTTTGGGTTGCAGTTTGGGCACTCGGTCTCTAAAAGGTTCACCATCACTGGACTATGAGAAAGTAATTGACCTAAAATTATCCCGCTGGGTTTCATACCTAAGGTAGGACTAGAACTCACCGTCTCCTGGTTTCTAACTTGGTGCCTTATCCAGCAGACCAAATTGGCTGTCACTTATGTGTTAACCACACATAATCTATTATGTGTGGCTTTAAGATAGTTTTTAAGATCCATTGGTTTCCCTAAGAATTATAGTACAATATAGTGTAATTTATATGGTATGGTGTGATATGGCATGGTATAATTCATTCCTGATGCCATCCATTTAGCCAGGGAAAGTTTAAATATATAGTCTTTCCAATATCTGTTTATTTCAAAAACATGATTATACATAATCTTGTATCACTGATTGAACTTTAGAAATCCTTACAAGCTGGGGGGGGGGGAATGAATCCTTTTGCAAAAAGAACCAAACAGGATCATGAAACCTGGTTGATTGCTTACTTTTCTGTAGAACTAAGACAGTAACAGTACAATGAGGTGCCACCTGAATAATTTAGGTAGCGCACTTTTTCAAGATAATCATTATAGTAGTGACAAAGGTTTTTTGTACAAGTGCACAATAAAAAAAAAATCCCAAATAGAATCAATATCTATACAAGAAGATTCCCTACTCACTGCAGAAATATTTGTACTAGCCTTATCTCACCATTACTGGATAAATACCCAGGGCACATAAGTCGAGTCTACACTCCCTGCTGCTTTCAGATACCAACTATACAAGGTTGCTATGACTTGTACTACAAACTAGACTTAATGATAGATTTATGACATACTGAAATGCTCTGTCATTTCATACAGTCTTCTATATACTAACTTTTATGTTCCCCTACCCCCATATAATGCTTTACCTCTTTTATATTCTTGTTTTTTATATATACTTTGTTTTAATGTATTTTTATATCTTCTAGCTTTTCATCATTACTAGACTCTGATGTATTTTTTGTGCTTTTTAATTGACTACCCCATCCTCCTTATGCTGGTTTATGACCACAATAAAGATTTAATTTAATTTAAATTTTAATTTGTAACTGGAGTCAAAGCTATATTTGAAAACCTGCTCATGTCTCTGCCTGACATAGATCTTCAAAGCAATGTAAAGGTGAAAAAGGTCAAGGTTTCCCTGTCCAGCGTGTCCAACTCTAGGGGAGTGCTCATCTCCTTTTCTTGGCCAAGGGAGCCAGCATTGTCCAAAGACATTTTCTGTGGTCATGTGGCTAGCATGGCTGTATGCCAAAGGCACATGGATTGCTGTTATCTTCCCACCGAAGTGGTACCTATTAATCTACTTGAATTTGCATGCTTTCAAACTGCTAGGTGGGCAGGAACTGCTGAGCCATCACACCCCTCATAGCAATGTACTCTTCATGAAAATAAAAAAAAGGCTGAAGGATCTAGGTGTGCACTACAGAAGGAACAGATGGGGTATTATGAATAGTAATATTAACATTGACAAGTGCTTAAAACAGGTTTTGGCTATATACTCCATTCATAATTTCTGACAGGGAGGTAGTTTTACACTGAAAGATTAGAAGTTATCCTAACTGAATTACAGTGCAATTAGCTAGTGAGGTTGTAGAAACTCCCTCTTAGAGACTCGTAAAGAAAGCTAGGATGTCACTACTAATACCTGTTTTAGAACCGAAGTCAGATTCTGTGCTTGCTATTTTGCAGTCTTTCACAATAATCTTGGTCAAAACAAAACAAAAACATTGAAGAATCTGTACAGTAGAACATCAAATATGACATCACCTATTCCTTTTGAGTGGCTATTTAATACTTTTATACCTTCACTTTTGTAGAAAGTGCTGAAATGCAAAAGGCGCAACTCCATAGAGATTATTATTAGCAATACTAGCAATACAATACCTCTAACCCATGCCATTCTGTTTATAAGCAGGTAACTTGAGACTCTCTAACTCTTTATTACAAAATCTATTAGGAACCATTTGTGGATAGCAGCCTGAGAAAAGTAGGAATATAATTACTCCTAGAGCGTACCTTCAATCCTGGCGCTCACTTCCCAAACTCATTAGGCTTATTTGAAATGGGATTATAATGAACTAGCCTCAATGACTTTTCATTAATTTATCAATCACTGATATATCTTTTCTGAGAAAACATATTGAAATAATAAAGGAAATGTCTGAGACATGTTCTGTAGAGGGTATTATATGACCTCATTCTAACAACTCAGCAAATCTTGTTTTGGAGATGACTTTACTGATTTAGCCTGGGTAAATTAATACAAGAGCTACAGTATGGATTTAGGAAAGTGCCGAATGCATTCACAATCCATTTCAGAAAATTTAAATTCAGAGTAAAAGTAAACTTCCTTATGTTTATATGTGCAAATCATGACAGGAGACCAGTCTCCATTACATCTTATTACAATTTAAAATCACACTACTGTAATGTCAGTGTTATGCAAACCATACTCCTCAGAGTCTGCGTTTCCCCATGCTGGATCTCAGCATTAATACACCTTCTACAGAATCTCCAGGACAATCAATCATTCTCTGCCAAAGAAGTCGCTCTTCTCCTTGAGAATCCATCCAGTCAACTTCTTTGCCATTGCTTATACCTGGAAAATTGCAAAGCACAGTGGTCAGCTGATCTTTTTTTTTTCAATCAGAAAAATCATTCCACCGTTCATTCTGTTCAATATTTCATAAAAGTCCATTTCACAACATCCGCAAAGTTTCTATTAGAGGTTCATAACACATGGTACTCCAGATTCACAAGAACTATAGGAACTCTTATCAAACTGTCATCTATAGCTCTGATTTCCACCATTGGTACAGTGTAAAAGTTTGTTTCATTTAAAATGAGCAATGTTTTCATTTAGACTGGGATGTTATGTTTAGCTCTAATCACAGCAACCACATATGAAAGACTTAATATCTTAATAATATGTACATTACAAACTGGAAGCTGTTGCCCTTAAAAAAATAATTCCTAGGCTGAATTCTTACAAGAATAGTGGTATGGAGAATGAAATACTTTGAAAAATAAATCTAAAAACTCCCATTTGACTCTGGCCATCTTATTTTTGTATTAATTATAGGACAAGATCTTAGCTGTCCTTTTTATTGGGAATTCTAATCAGATTTACTTGCTTCTTTTATTAATTTTATTTTTATTATTTATTCTTTTTAGCTTTGTTTTTTAGGCAAACATCAGAATGGGTTATCATAAATACTTTTAAACCAAAGGCAGAAAATATTTTCTGGATCAGCCATCCATAAATTTGCAAAAGGCCTGAGGGCAATGATAAAAACTAAATTTTCTACCTGTTTTTCCTATCATTTAAGAAACCATATTGATATATTTATTATTAGATTTCTATCCTGTCTTTCATTCAGAAGCTCGAGGCAGCATATATAGGAAGCTTTCACCCTATTTTCCTTCACAGCAGAGCTCGGCCGAGAGTAACTGAGTGGTCCAAAGTCAACCTCCATAATCAAGCACGGGGTCTAAAACCTCCCTCCCAATCCAGCACCTTATGCATGGATGGGTGCATTTACATTCCCAGAAGCTCTGCATTTCCATTTCCCACATTTTTACAATATCTTTTCTGGAAGATATGGCAAGTTTTTCCTATGAGCTGCAAGAAAAAGAGCTAAATGGGTCTCTCAAGGGCTGCTGTCCATATCTAAATATAAAGAGTATTCTAGATATTCCATTTCAACAACCTTCTATCAAAAGGTAGATCTATCCATACATACCACTTCCAATACTCAAGCGAACACCTCCCAGGAAAATATTGCTGGCGAGAGACTCCTTGTCCCAAACAGTAAGTTCTACACAGACATTGTGTATATCTCTAGGGTTCAAGCCACTAAAAGTGAATGTATGATTCCAGTGAGGATTCACACTTTTTTTTATTACATGGGTTTTATGCTTCGAAGATTTGTTGTTGTCAGGAAGCAAATATCTAAGAGACAAAAGGAAGGGGGGAATAAGAAAAAGAATATGGAGGTCTGTTATGAATGTCATAATAATTATAATTGAGAAGATGCTGATTGAACTATCTTAACCCAACCCATTTTTAAAATGTGGCCACTGGCACATCACTCAACAGCTATGTGTGATCCATAGCCCTTCCCTCAAAGAAAAAAATACTATAAAAAACATTTGTCATAAGAGTTGGCCACTGCAACTTTCATTGAGCCCTTTTTCTAGAAGGAAGGATTATTTGGAATATTTTTACTTTCTTAAAATGAAACTCTGACATGGAGCGATACTGAGATTTACAAATAATACATGGTCATATAAGCTTATTTTGAGATTGTGATATTAGCCTGTAGTAGAAGGTGAATTATGAATTAGATCTGGATAGCAAATGCAAGATTACATCGGCTAACTGAGATTAAGAGATACAATACAATCCTGATATATGAACCGGTTGCCTACTATTATTTTTCCGTTTAAAATATTCAAAATAAGGTGGAAGGAAGTAAAGATTCAAAAATTCTAAATCTTGCCACTTGATGTTTACGGGACATTTTTGAGGAAACGAATAGATGATCATATAAGTGATCACCAGGGCAACTGGGATCAAGAATTTCATCGCTAAGCGATGTGATCGTAAAGGGTGACATCACACATTACTGGCTCACTTAGCAACCGCAATTCTTGCAGTCTCACTTGCTGTCACTGAACAGCAATCTTGTTAAGCAAGGCCCTCATATGATTCCCTGCCAGCTTTCCCATTGTCTTGGCTGGTGGGAACATCAGAAATCAGTCACGTGTCTTCAAAGATGCTGTGACAGCCAGAACTCTTAAGGACCTATCATAAATCCCTCCTTATTTAGTATCATAATTTTGAACAGTCACTGAACCAATGGTCATAATGCAAGGACTACCTGTATTCAATACAGAAATACTAAACGTCTACTAGCATACATAACCAGAGACAGAATGGGGGAAATCACCCTTTCACAAACGTATCTGAAGTGCCTCCTGATTTCACCGCCATTAAATTCTTGGCTTCCTTGATGACAATTTCCAATATGCCTCCTGATGGTATTTGAGAGGTTGCCTTTTTTTCTTTCTTTGAACTCTTCTTTCCTTTAGAATAAGGAAACAAGAATGGAGGAATATATGAAGCTTCCATATTTTGCACTGTAGCCTGTCTTAAGGTTAATAATGAATATACATCAAACCATGCCTCTTAACCAAGCCACAAATATCTCTGTCCTATAGAAGAGTATCTTGAATGGATTTATGCTCCAGATGCAACTTCAACATATATTTATGGCCCAAGACCAATCACAATAAAAAACAGTATATAATCTAATAACTATAAAAGGAAATTTTAAAATTGCAAATAAATCATAAAACAATTAGCAACAGTTAATAGCATGAAGGAGGAATAGCATGAAACAGTTTCTAACAGCTATGGCTATTGATGAAATTTTCAACCTTCTTAGAGGTTTTTGAAGAATGGTTACCTAGGAGAAGAATAATAGTCTCCTGGTCACAATGGCAATTAGAGTTATTAATAGTTGAACCTATTAAACTTGAGATATAAGTGATGAGGAAAATGATGCTTTTCTGTTTTTACAACATTATGTTCATTATATTTTAACTCTGGATGGGTGTCATAAAAAATAATAAAAAGCAAAAAAGGTCCACAATAAATCCTAGCTCATAGAGTAATTATTTAAAAATTGATCAGCACACCCCAAACTCTCTAACTTATCCAAACTTCATTTTTTCTCTTTCCATTCAACCATGTCTGATTCTCAGAAACTGCCTGGACAGTTTTCTTGGCAAGGTTTTTCAGAAGTCATTTATATTGATTGATTGATTGATTTATATTGGGCAATCTCTAAATTTATATATATTTATAAATTTATACATATAAATTTAGAGATTGCCCAATTCACTCACAGAGCAACTCTGGGCAGAGTACAACTAAAAATATGAAAATCTATGTTTATGGTTTGCCACTGCCCCCTTCCTAGGGTTGAGAGAAAGTGACTGGCCCAAAGTCACCCAGTGAGCTTTGAGCCTAAAGCAGAACTCATGATTTCCCAGTTTCTAGCCTAAAGCTTTAACCACTACACCAAACTGCCTCTCAAACACCAATTACTCATCATTAAAAATAGTTTTCTGGTGGACAGGAGTCTTGAAAAGTAGATTGCCTTTGAATTTCAGAAACCTTCTCCCTGTTTCTCTAGCCTCTGCTGAATTTGGGTGGGCACAGCTGATTGATTATCAGTTGTTCTCAGGATTCAGACAATCACACCAACCTTGGTCACCCCAAGATATACAGACACAAGGGAATTTTGAGTAGAAATAATTGGCAGCTTTTGCAGCATTTTGCATAGAATGAAAATATCAAGTCTTGTTACTCAACAAGATGACATTATAAGAAAATGCTGTTGAATAGAGAGCTAATGAATTTACAGCTAACAAATCCTGCCCTTGCTTCCAAAAGATATAGTGTTGAGGATGAATAATATAGGAAGATGAAATGATTTGCGGTTTCAAATTCTTTTAGAAAGTAGTAAACCAACTGAACAGCAACAATTTCAATGTTTTGTAGTGCTGGGTTTTTGTTCCTAATGTCTGCAGAAGACCATGAATTAAAACAATTCAAGGGAAACATTTCTGGATGCATCAAAGGGTTTTTTTTCTTTTACCTTGAATCTCTCCTAGGGGAAGTGTTAGGTTCCTCTCAGGTGGAGTGTACCGTAAAGCAACAATTAATTCTCCTTTGTACTGCAGCCCAATATCAGTGGAAATCTCCATCTAAAATAAGAAAGTAAAATAGAACAAAGTCTTGTTTAATAAATATTCGCCTTCACTTTTAGAGCATGTTGCACATTATTTTGAGGTATACATAAAGAGAAGTATACAGATGAAGATGAGCTTCAAATGACCAACCTCTACTTCCTACACTCTATAACAGTGGTGGCGAACCTATGGCACAGGTGCCAGAGGCGGCATGCAGAGCCCTCTCTGTGGGCACGTGCGCTGTCACCCCAGTCCTAGGCCTTCAGCTGGGTTTTATAAAACCTTTTCGTTTTAAGCCTCCGCTGCTGTGTACACAAAAAAAAAGGTTCAATCAATCAGTCAATTTCAACTTCTTGCGGGGAAAAAAAAGATCTTGCAAAGTTAGAATTGATTGATTGAACTTTTTAGTCCCACCCAGTCTGCTGCTACCACTGCAGCCATGCCCAGCCAATGGGCCACACCCACCCAATTGGCAACACCCAGCCAATGGGCCACACCCACCTGGCACCCAACAATGCATAAGTGGGTTTTGGGTTGCAGTTTGGGCACTCAGTCTCTAAAAGGTTCGCCATCACTGCTCTATAAGCTTCCAGCAAGGAAGTAGGAAGGGGTTTTCTTTAAAATGTCCAGTTCCTAGGTGTTTTTGTCTCTCTCTTAAGACAGCTTGAACCACCACAAAGCTTCTTCCAAACTGCCCAACACATGCCCTCTGTTTGCCTACTAGATAGAGGACAAAAGCGACCAACTTTTCCTCTGCAATGTGGAGGGTGCTCGTGAGACAGGCTTTCTTTGTTGGTGGCCATAGGAATGCAAGTTTAAGTTTAATAAAGAGCTTGGATCACTGACAAGTAAAAGTGGAGCTTTTCTGCAAACCCACTGCTAGTTCTTTAATAGGGACAGAAATGGGAACTAAGGGGTCTTGTGACGTTCAGCATTGTTCTAATATTTATGTAATTGACAGTAAACCTTGTCGCTACAATTCCCACTTAACTCTAAGCTTTATGCAGACTTCAATAATATCACAATGGCTTTGCTATTCCTGTTTTTCTATCAAATTTATCACATTAACGTATTTTCAAATTTCAACAAAACAAGATAAATCAGAAATAACTCAAGTGTTAGGATGGGAAGGAAAACAAGAAAAGGAACAAAGGTGAATACATATTAGAACAATTAAATATACAATGGTATCAAGTTTTAAAAAAAATGAAACCACGACCACATGGAGCCACATATGCTTGGAGAAGGCCAGATGTTTCAAGAAAGAGACGTAACTCACTATGGTATTTATCTGACTTGAGTGGCCAAAATTCTTCATGAATCCAGGTGCTAAAAAAATGTTAGGATTATTACTTTGACAATATCAGGAGAGTGATAAGTGAGTTAGAGGGCTTCCCCCAAAATAGATATACTTGTCTTTACGCCGCGCCCTCAAGACATGGCTATTTCAGCTGGCAGGACTGGCCTAAGGGGTATTTTTAAATTTGGTTTTTAAACAACTTTTTAAAAAAGAAAAAGCCTATATTAATATTTCATTTTAACCATATTTTAAATTTTGTATATTGTATTAGCTATTTTGTTTTAAACTGGCTGTAAGCCGCCCTGAGTCCACCAGGAGAAGGGCGGGGTATAAATGTGATTAAAGTTAAAGTTAAAGTTAAAAAGTTAGATGCCTTTTCTCAACAGTAACAAACAAAAATATGTGATATGGGAATAATCCATTCCTTTTTGGACTACAGAAGCACAGAAGGTAAAAAGAACAGATTTCACATATTAGATTGCAAATGAAATGATAAAACTTGCAGTTTGTTGGACAGGAACAAACTGATCTGTCCAAGCTACAGGAAAACATACTGGCATCTAGAGTTTGAGAGCCACTTGCGATACAGCCTTTGTGGGACATACAATTCTTCCTCTGTAGTTTTCTTGTTGTGATGGCTTTAACTTAAAAACTCAAAGAACACTATACAGTGGAATAGACCCATCTTTCAGCTAAGTTGCCTTCAGCTAGTGGATAATTTGACTGCAATATAAATTTGCATGCCACTTCTTGAAACCAACAGGACCTTCTCACCTTCGGCTGAAGCATGAACCATTCATCAGCTTGATTTTCAAAGTTCCATGAGTCCAAGGGAATCTCTACTTCTCCCAGAAAGCTGTTACGCCCAAATCTGTCATAATGCCAGACAGAAAGTTGCAGAGTGCGAGTCTCAAGCTGCGTGTGGCTAATGACATACTATTGAGTGATAGAAAAGGAGCATATTTTTAAGGAAAATATTTTTAGGACCCAGTAAGTGAGAGTATAGAACTTCTAAGTATATCCAAAGGTATTAACAGATAATAAATGATGCAATATTTTCCCTTCCTACTAGTGCAATTCAAATTATGAAGGGAAATACATAAAATGTAATTATTCTCCTGAAAACCTGTTTACACCTGTCCTTCCATCTCCTCCTGTATGCATATTGATTTTGAAACATTATTCATAATTAAAATAGAAAAAAAATGAACTGGTGATACTAAATTCTCCAAAACTGGTAAAAGTGTTGTTATTAAGAAAGTTGTTCTTTAAATTCCACAACTGTTTTACATTTTTTATCTTTCTTGAATCATGTAATTGAAAATCCTTTTAATTTTTTTTTTTTTTGTTTTTTTGTGGGGTTTTTTTCCCTTAGTGATTTTTGACTGTTAGTTTTCCAGCCTTTGGGAATGGGAGGTATACAAATAAGATAAGCAAACAAATAAATAGATGAGGAGTCCTTGGTGCTTTCTGAGTTCAGAGTGCACCAAGAAATCTTCATTTCAACCCTGACCTACAAATATTCTCCTTTAAATAAATAAATGGGAAGCAGATGCCCAGGAAGTACAAGGAAGTGTCAACTTAATTTTGACATTGGGCAAAGTCTCAAACAAATTATAAAGAACATATCTATGAGCACTTGAATAAGCATACTGCAATTAACAAGAGCAAGCATGGTTTTGTTGCAAACAAATCGTGCCACTGAACCATATTTCCTTCTTTAATAATAGAATTGCAGCTCAGTAGATCTGGAATGTTCTCAGGTTCTCAGCAAAGCTTTTGACAGAGTTCCTCATGACACATATTTTTCTTAATAGACTCATGATATATATATATTTCTTAATAAAGAGACCACCCAGTTATTTTGGAATTGGATGACACAAAAAATTAAAATTAATTAATTAATTAATTAAAATATAGGGTAGAAGATGCAACTGTTAAATGGCCTCAGTTGCCTGAACAATCTCATTTCATCTTGGACAGAAGAATTGAGTGGAATATCAGTGATTATTTTGGATCCTATGCAATTCAAAATGTTAATCAATGACTGAGATGATGGAACTGGATGACACAAGGTTTTGTGGATGACACAAATATGGGAGGATGACTTTAGATGAAACAGAAAAATCAAAAATATCTAGACAAAGTGGACTGAAATCCCTGAGGAAAGTAGGAGCAAATCACTTACAAGCACAACCCAAAAACTAGTTGGACATGTCCAGAGAGACACCAGAAACACAGCCCAACTCAAGGACATCTTTATCATGCAGGTACTGTGCAGCATATAAATAATTTAAACTAACAAACCAGTCAACCAAGAATTTCTCATTTTGACCATAGAGGAGCACCCGGAGGCTCCAGCTAGTCCAAAATGCGGCCGCGCGGGCGGTGTTGGGAGGGACTCGTCGCTCCCATGTAACACCGCTGCTACGCGAGCTGCATTGGCTGCCGGTGGCCTTCCGGGTGCGCTTCAAGGTGCTGACCATCATCTTTAAAGCGCTCCATGGCATTGGACCCGGATACCTTCGAGACCGCCTC